CAGGCATTAAAGGGAGGCATCCTGGTTTGTGATGTTTATACCACGGCAAGAAGGCCTTGCGATCTGTTCCCCGAGAGTGTAGAAAGATCACACTCCAGAAAGATGCAATCCAAAAGGGGCAGAGCTTCCCCTCTTCCCCTCTTCCCCCTCCCTTCCTCCTTCCCTCTCTCCTCTTCCTCCTCTCCTCCCATCGGACCCCGGCTGCCTGGGCTACTTGGGCTCGGAGTCTCCTCAGACCCCCTCTTATTTTCCTCTCACCCGTGTCCTGGCGGCTCGACACTTTTTGCCACCACTGAACACCCCGTCGGAGCTCCCACCCATCTCTCCTTGCCCGGAAGGGTTGTCTACACTCGCTGGCTTCCGTCTAGCTTCATGCCTGTGCGCAGGTACGGGACCCAGGGCCCTAAGCGTCCAAAGAAGACTCTACCTGGTCCTACTGCGGCATTGACCAGGCTGCCAGATCCTACCCCACTCTCCCTCTCTTTATGGCCACCCCTCCTCGAGCCCACTCTTGGCCAGCCCAGCCTCCAGGGTGTCTCTGTGGGCTGCCCCAGGCCTGGATTCTGCCCTCACTCCCCTCCCCTCCATTCATCCCTGGAGGACTCCCAGATACACCTCACAGTCCCTACACAGCGCGCGCGCGCACACACCTACCTACTTCCATCTATCTGGAGTTCCGTGTGACCAAGACCCAGCCCATGACATTCTTGCTGCTCCTGGGTCTCTGTGAGGGGCACTGCCATCAGTCCTTACACTGCAAGACCCGGGGGTGGAGGAGAGGGAGTGGCGGGGAGGGGAGTCGTTGTCCTTGTTCCCCCTCACCCTCACTTCAACCCATCAAAGCCACATATCTTCACCTCCTAAGCTTTCTTTCATATGGGTCCACTTACCACCCCTCCACTATATCCCAGACCACTCCCGCCTCCTCCTTGCACTGCAGTGAGGAAGCAGGCCTCTGCTTCCTCTCTCGGCAGCCGGAGGAATGCTTAAACCCTCAGTCATGGACACCCACATTCTCTCACCCAAAAGCCTGGGGAGCGTCCCATCTTGCTCAGGGGCTTGGTATAGGGACTAAAAACATCACCCATTGTTGTCCTCTCCTCCCTGTCTCCCCCACTGATCTGCCTTCTCACAGTTTCTTGAACAAACCCAGGCGCCCTCCTGCCGTGGGTTTTTTGCACATGCTGACCTCTCTGCCTGAAGTGCTTTTTCTCCACTTCATTATCTGATCGTCTCCTCTTTAGTCTTCTGTGATCATAACGCCTTTCCTGACCTCTCCAGATAGGTAAGAGGCATTTATTCACTCATTTATTCATTCAACAGCAGAGCTAGAAGCCCAAGATGCAGAGAAGCGCCAGCTTATTTGAGGGCATGGGTAAACAGTAAATGTGTCCAGAGAATCCTGAATAAATTGACTCCTGGAAATAGATGTCTAGCAAGTTCAGAGGGCAGCCAGGCAGCCTGTGTGGAAGAAAGGACTGAGCTAGGGGTCAATGGGAGGAGAGATTGTGGAGACCCAGGCCCTGGTGTTTGGAATTTATCCCAAATTCACTGGGTGGAGACCAGGTGAGGGTTAGAACAGAGGA